TAATAATCATTGTTCTTTGTCAAATACTATCATCATGTGAGAGAAATATCATTATTATAGATAAATGTTGAGCTCCTTATAGTAATAACGCTATGCTCACCTTCCTGGTCTTTTATATAAACGTGTTAACAAATAGCTAAATAATATATAACATGTCACAATGGTGATAGTACTAATTATTATATTTAAAAAATAATGATTTTTTTTTCCTAATTTATATATATATAAGATAACTATCAGAATTATATTATATAAAAAGATAATTATATCAAAGCTGGCTCATCTAAAAATTAAAAGTTAGCAAATATTTTTTTTCAATTAATATAATTCGAATATAAAGCTCAATATCTGAATTATAAGATACTTCAATAAAATTTATATCTTGTCTTTTGCATATACTGTCAAATTCCTCTATAGTCATTACCCTTGGGAAAGCAAAATTTGATGACTATAGAAAAATTTTTTTTACTATGTTTATATGTAAATAAAAAAGCAAAATAAGATGACTATAAAGAGATGTGACTATAAATAGATATAACTATAGAGAAATTTGATTGTATCCTATTTTTTTTGATCACATATCTATTACTTATTCAAATCTATCTGATTTTGCTTATGGAATATTTGATTAAAAGTGAAATATTAAAATTCTTGATGTTTAAAAACCAATTTTAATTTCTTATTATATTAGTCAAGTCAAAAATTATTTAAGATTTTTGGTGCACATGGCAGAAATTTTTTATCTAATAAATTCTCAAAAATATATTTTATAAAATATTTTTCTTTTCTATAAAAACAAAGTGAGCATTATTCAAACTTTTTCATAATTAATAAATATGAATATTCTCACTGATAAATATCATTTTCATAGGACCAAAAAAATATCAAAATCATTAATTCATCTACTTCTTTTAAGATATTTTTGCTAGTATATTTATAAACTCTAGCTAACTTGCTATTAAAAATATGAATAAAGTTAATAAATTTAGTATAATATTTTCACATAAATACATCTGGTAGATACTGTATTTTTTCAGATTCTTAATAACTTGAAGTTCTTCTTACTTTGAAAGATCTTTTTGAATTTTGACTTATTAAATACCTAGTTAAATTAATCAGCTTATTGTTACAAGTTTGTTTACTAATTATTAAATTAGCTTATAAACTTAAATTTGAATTGGAAAAAAGTAATAGACAGATAAAAATATTAAAATAAAAAGAAGAGATATCTAAGATCTATACCAATTTCTATGGAAATTATGTTTACTTAAAAAAAGAAAATAATAATATGAGAGAGTTGTAGGAGAGTAAAGATTGAAGTAAAAAGAGGATATAAAGGAATAATAAAAAGAATTTGAAAGAGTAATTCTATACTTGTGTAAAACTTTTCAGAACTAAAATAATATAATTAATAATAATAATAATAATAATAACAAAGACTCTTTTACTTTGTTCTTCTTATAAGTGAGAGATATTCATTAATAATTAAAAATTCAAATAACAAAAAGTAAAATACTTATAATTCAATTTCAATAATTCCAATACAGCAATTTGTTCAGTATAATATAATATAAAGTTCAATAATTTAATAATAATGATTTGTTCAATACAATATGATCTAAAGTTTAAAGTTAATAATAATAATTTGCTTAGCATAATATAATATAAAACTATTAGTGATTTTATAGGTTCAATATAATATAAGATTACTTATACACAAGGTTTAAAGTGTATAAAGAAAATATAAAAGGCAAAAAATATTTGAAAAAAGATTTTTGTTAAGAAAGATTTTTATTTTCAGTTACAATATGTCAAGTTAAGATTTAGATAACACTTTTATTTATATATTTTTTGAAAATATAATTTTAAATAATAATAACTATCTAATCAATAATAAAAGAATAACAAATAATAAAATAAATAATAAATAAATAATAAATAATGAAAAGTAATAAAAATAATAAAAAATGATAAAAAAGTAATAAAATATAATAAAAAAAGTGATAAAATATAATGAAAAAGTGATGAAATATGATAAAAAAATGATGAAATATAATAAAAAAATAATGAAAAATAATGAAAAGTAATAAAATAAATATCTAATATATTATTTTTGTTATTTCTTAGAGATTATTATTTTTTTGAAGGCTTTTAATATTTTCAATTATTTTTTGAATTCTAAATTTCTTTGAATTACTACTATAATATTATTCTTAAAATAATATAAAACTGACTATAATGAATTCTTTTAAACAACAACTTTTTCAATTTTATAAACATGTAATAATTGGTACAAATCAGTTACTCTATGTTTGTGATTATCTTCTAGCTTACTAAATTTTAATAAATATTTTATTGTAATATCTTTCTTTAACTTTATCTCATCTTTACCAATAGTTTTCTTAGATTTACTAGAAGATTTAAATTTAACTTTTTTTCAATATCATGATATAAGCTAATATTATAAAAATAAGATGAGTTTTACTATTATTCATATAATTGAGAATTTTTTGAAGAGTCTTATTTTATATTTTTGATCTCTCTTCTTTTGTTGAATTTTATATATTTTCTTTATTATATTCTTTTTTAGTAATTTAATAAATACCAATTCTCAAAATTATAAATATCAATAATTCTTATAATAACATTATATTGCTTCATCTCTTGAAAAAATAATTTATGAAAAATTATATCACTATCAGTTATCAATAATATCAACTATGTAAAAAGATTATTAGGATCTTCATATATCTCTTTGATCACATTTCAAACTTCTAAACTATTTCTTGATATTAATAAACATTTAGTCTTAAAACAAGTTATCATATCAAATAAAAATTGAGTTGAAAATAATAAAAGAAAAATTAAAATTCTAGTACAAGTTTTTTACAAATATTCTTTTTCTTGCATTTTGTAATTAATTAAAAAGCTAGAGTTTAATATTAACCTAAATCTCATCTATCAAAAAGAAAGAAGTGAAAAACTATATTATTTTTTTAGCTTGTTATTAATAAAACTATTAAAAAATCTAAAGAAGAAAAGTTAACAAAATCAAGTATAAAAAAAATCATTGATAAAAAATAATTAGTACAAGAAGCTAAAAAGATACAAAAATGAAAAATACAAGTATAAAAAAAGAGATAGAACAAGCAAAAAAGAAAAAAATATAAGAAGATTATATAATATAAAAATTAAGTTTTTTGATTATCTAAATTTGATATTTATATGTATTATTTTTAATTAATTAATCAAAAATTATAAATTTTTAAATATAAGTTTTTTTTTGAAAATTTAAACAATTTATATTTAATATAATTTTGTAATTCTACACCAATTCTATAAAAATTTATTATTAATAATATTAACTGTATTATAATATTCATATTTATTTTAATTAAAAATTTATTTATTAATATAAACTAAATTTAATATATAATATATTATTATAAAAAGCTTTTACTATATTTTGAATTTTAATATAACTTAGAATTTTAATAATTTTTATATTAAATTTTAATTTTGATATAATTTTGAATTTCAATATAATTTTGAATTTTAATATAATTATAAATTTTAATATAATTTGAATTTTGATATTTTAGTAATTAAATTTTATTTATTAAAATAATATTTAATAATTTTAACTTGATAAATTATCAAAACTTATGAATTTTAACTAATATTTTTAGATAAAAAATTATAAACTAATAAACTAATAATAATAAATATAATTTTATAATTAAAATAAAAGATTATAAACAAAATAATAAAACAAATTAATTTATTATAAAACAAATTTAAATAATATCTAAGAGAAATAATATTTATTAGATAATTTTAAAAAAAATAAAAATATTTGTCAATTATTAAATATAATTATAAGTTTATTTAATTAACTAAAATATTATTAAATTAGAAGAGAAATAGATAAAATATCTTTCTAATTAATAAAAATTATCTAATAAATAATATTTCTCTAATTAAAAAAATTGTATTAAATACTATATTTATTTATTAACTTTTTTAAAAAGCTTAATAATTAAAGAGTTCAATTATTAAAGAAAATTTAATTAAAAAATTCAATTAAAAATTTTAATAATTTTTTTATACTAAATATATAATTCTTTTATAAATAATTAATAATACTAAATTACTAATAAAATTAATAAATAAATTAATATTTGAACTAATATTTAAAATTCTAATAAGCCAAGCCTCAAGTCACTCAAGTCTAAATTTTATATATAATTTAATAATATTAATTTAAATTCTATTAATTAAAGTATATATATGTGAGTTATATACAAGCCAATAAATTTAGCTTTTTAGAGCTTTACTAATATTGCAAATTAATATTCAAATTAATATTTTAAAAACAATTTATTTAATAAAATATAATAAAATATTATTTAATAAAATAAAGAATATAATTATTTATTAAAATAATTATTTAATAAAAATTTGAGATTTTAAATAGTAAATTTAATTATAATAATATAATATATATAATAAAATTTAATAAATATAAAAAAATAATTTAGTTATCTTTAAATAAATATTTAATTTTTACTAAATATTATAAATAATATAATAATATTTTTTGAATTTTGACATTAAAAGTAATAAATTGAAATTTTTAACATTTAAGTAGGAATAAAAAATTATTTAAAAATTTTTAGTTCATTTTTATTATTCAAAAAATGATATTATTTTTATATCAAAACAAAAATTATGGGTTATATTTTAACATATATTTTTTTTAGATTTTTTTTCTAACAAAGTTGTTCTAATTGCAAAGTTATTGCAAAAATTTTTTATAATTAAAATGAAAAATCTATTATATACTTTTTCTTTAGAATGAATTTCATAGATGAAATGTGACGATCATAAATTTAGCATAACAAACTTTTCTAGAAATCAAATATACAGCGAGAATGACTACAGCAGCACGTCCAACCTTTGATCCAGCTCGTGGTCGTGACAGTAAGGCGCCCACATTGCAATATAGTTCGCGAGATTTAGCCGCGCACACCAAATTAAAATACAGGTAAGTTAGAGGAGACTTGTCCTTGTAGACAGAGCTCTTACAGAATCTAGAGGAAAGAATCAGGCAAAGGTGGCAATGGACACCTGTTTTACGATGATGATGCGTTCAATGTTTTTGAGCTTCAATTCATTTACCGTTCTTGATGAAGCATAAATTTTCATTTGACACTATGTAAAACTATTCAAATCCATACAATTAAACAAAAACACTAGACAAACCGGTCAATTAACACAAGAAGAACTTGACAGAGTTGATCTAAAACAAGAACTTCTTAAAGCTGAACATGAACACTTTGAAAAGGCTCGAAAAGAGGGTGGTATTGGTGCCAGTGCATCAGCAGTCGATAAAAGCGTAGGAAGTATTGAAGAGCGAAAACAGCGTCTATTAATCGAGGCGGCAGAGTTGGATAAAGATGATAGTGATGAAGATAGTGAAGATGTTAGTGAGAGTGAAAGGTTTGTTATTGGGTTTATTCATTGATTTTTTCAACTATGTTGAAAAAACTAATTAATTAATCGAAGTATTTATTGTATAGCGAAGATGATGAAGATGACACAGAAGAATTATTAAGAGAATTAGAAAAGATTAAAAAGGAACGGGCGGAGGAAAAAGAGCGTCAGGTTGGTATTTTTCTTTTTTTTCCATTCCGCATTTTTTTGCAATATCTCAACACCAATAAATAGGAACGCGAAAACACGGAACTCCAAGAACAAAAGCGACAAGAAGAAATTGCCACCGGCAATCCACTACTGCACAAGGATTTCAGTGTGAAGCGAAGGTATTTGAATCGATGTCTTCTTTTATTTGTGGATTGTATGCAATCCGAATGATTGCTAATAATAAATATCTGAAAACACATAAAAGATGGGATGACGACGTAATATTCAAGAATCAAGCACGCGGTGTAGACGACAAGCCAAAAAAGCGATTCATCAACGATACATTAAGAAGTGACTTTCATCGCAAGTTTATGAATAAATATGTAAAGTAATGTTGTGTGTTCCTCTCTCGCTTACGTCCGGTACATGGTGGCTACTGGGTTTCGATTATTCCTCTCTCGCTTGTATCTTATACGGATATTGATTTCTATAGATAGATATTTATATGTTGTATTTATAAATATGCTTGATCAAAGAATATTGTCTCTTTAATCGTAGCTAATAAACACCGTTTATCAAGAGAATCTCGCACGTGAAGCATTTATAATTCCATAAATAGACACGGGTGACACACGTAAAAAGCATAAATCTTTGAAGAGAGTTCAAACCAAAAAAATCTTAAGGTGTGGAATTTTATCGCGTTCACTTTAATCTACATCTTTCTTTTAATTGATTGCATGGAAAAAAAGAAACGAATATCGTTTTTTAGTATTGTTATTTCCATTTCCTTTTAATCTTGTGTGGTTAGATCTATTCCCAGATCTACTCAGCATAAAACAACAATAATAAATAATAAAAGTAAAAAATGTCGGGTGCAGTGGTCAACACTAGCAACACTAATAACAACAAAAGCAGTAGCAATAACAATAATAATAACAGTAATAATAATAATTCATCAAGTAATAACAACAATAATAATTCGTCGTCTTCGGCACCGACACACTATTATGAGTTATATCGTACTAGCAGGTGTGTGTGATTTTTTAATGGCTGGGTAATTGATCAAAATCTGTTGGGATTCTGGATATGGATACAGAAAGATTATGAGCACAAAGAGAAGTTGATTGTTAGATGGGATGGGTGAGGTAAATCGGGATAATGTGTGCAGCATCAAATTAGATTGTTTTTTTCTTCCCGAAAAAATGATGCTTGGAGGTTCGATGGTGTTATTTTGTTGTTTTCATCAAAAGAAAAAAGGCGCAATAAATTTCATTTCCTTCAGTTACATATTATTTATTCAATATTTTCAAATACATTAGTATTGGATCGGCATTAACTGACTCACTTGACGAGTTGATTATGCAGGATAAGATTACTCCGCAATTAGCAATGAAAGTTCTCGTACAGGTAATTAAATACCTCTAATTCCAAAATCATAAAAAATAGTAATTAGTGTGAAAGGAAAACACGGTATTTTGTTGATGGGTTAGGGTTTGTCATTGGGATCACTGCATGGGTTAAAGGAGTGAAGGACCCTTAATCAGATTGAAAGAATTTTAAATATGTATATGTGACATGAGAGTCTACTAACTAATATTCTTACATCATGAATTTGTATAGTTTGACAAGAGCATAACAGAAGCACTAGAGAAAGGAAAAGGTCGAGGAACATTCAAGGTATATCTTATATCAAATATCCACCAATAAACAAAAATTATTCACTAATTAATACATGAATAAATATAGGGCGGGCGTCTACACACCTACCGTTTCTGCGACGAAGTGTGGACATTCATCATTGAGAGACCGAATTTCCGTTTGGATAATGATAATATCCCCGCCGACAAGATCAAGATCGTGGCGTGTAATGCAAAGAAACCCGGTGATGCTGACAATAAGTGAGTTATCCGAGTGGATAAAATATAAATTATCTATGTGGATGAGTGCCTGTAGAATATCTTTTTATTTGGCTGAGATTTGTGAATGTGTCAAGTTAGCATATAAGATGTAGATGATTGAGAACCAATAAATAGTGGATCTCTACAATATATGGGAAGTAGCACGTAGAGTTTGTATTATCTTCTAATATATAATATAATCAAAGTTGATCTATATCTATTAATCCAGTAGATTTTTTTGCTAGATTTAACACCGCTCTAAGATTTAATTTTTGATCTGATTGGATTGATAAGAATTTGTCATTGTTTTCTTTTCGTGTGTATCAGTATATTTTGCTGATAATATCACGATGATGATCGGCAGTTTTCACAGTATTACATAAGTGAATGCAGGGTAACAATAGACCGCCCGCCATTTTTGCTTATATCGATGTATACATGTACATGTAACGTACCGCATGTTTTGAATGGCCTACTTGTTTGCAGCATCCATCCTTTTTTTGGACTTTATATCTTCCCGTTATATTATAACATCTTTTAAATTTTTCAAGATATTTTTAATTACCACTTTTTTATATCCAAAATCCGTGAATCAATCTTCACGCTAATACATGTATCAATATGTATACAATATATACACACACAAGAGTGTTCGTTACATTCTCCTTCTGTGCACTTTTCCTTGTATCAAATGAACCACTGAATGATGATAAATGACAACAATTAATCGAACTATCAATTTTTTTATTTTTCGAACATCCTCAATCATCCAAGCAGAAAATTCAATTTTGTTTTTTTATATTTTATAATAGATATTTGTAATAATAGAATATATAAAAATTTGATAATGTTAATTTAAATTTTCAAAAATAGAAAATAATTGCTACGAGATATAAAATAGCTCATCAAACAAATCGTAAAGACAAACTAAAGATATAATAAATGGCAACAGCTGTTAAACAATTTTGTAACGACTTTGGCCAGTTCTCGCCGGATACAGATGTGGTAATCCAAGCTGGTCAAGAGCCAGATATCAAAGCATTTCAAGCACATTCGGCTGTCCTGCGTGCTAGATCGGCGTTTTTTCAGAGTGCTCTGTCGACTACGTGGGCGCGAAAGGAAGGAAATCGGATTGTGTTAAAGAAACCAAATGTATCGCCGTTGGTTTTTGAAATGTTATTATAGTAAGCTCTTTTAGCCGATTAAATCTATTTCTATTCATGTTTATAAATTTCAATAACGATCATGTGAATTTAAAACATAGTTATTTATATAATGGACGAATAAACTTGGACGAACAAGATGGTATCGACATTCTCAATTTACTAGTGGCCGCAGACGAACTACTCATCGCACAAGATCTCTTGGGTCACATCCAAGATCACTTGATAACGGTGAAAACAACATGGCTCGAAACCAACTTTGGACTCGTATTACACGCAATATTTCGTCATTCGTCGTGTTTCCGACTCCAAGATTATTGTCTACTACAGATGTGTTGGCGTCCGGAACTTGTTTTCGCTGCTGATGATTTTTTGGAATACGACGAGGATATTTTAAGCATGGTGTTGGAACAAGAGGACTTGCAGATGGAGGAGAAAGATGTTTGGGAGAATTTGTTGAGGTGGGGGTTCTCACAGATTAGACCGCGACAATCTTTTAATATCGGGAGCATTGGGAAACTGAAGAAAGATGAGATTCAGAATTTGTATGAGATCTTGAAGAATTGTATACCATTGATACGATTTACGGATTTTTCTAACCGGGATTTTAGTGATCATGTTTGGCCGTTCAGAGACATTGTTCCAGATATGATTAGATTCGAGATTGAAAAAATACACAAAAATAACCATGATACATTTTTCTTTGTGTCTCATTCGTCATTACTACTACCTCGTTGTCCATTAATTCGTATCGACTCCACAATACTTCATCCAGCACAAGCAGCCTATCTCCCCGAATGGATAGAATTCGCACAAAAGAATTCACCAGCATCAACGCTGACGACCGAAATTCCGGACCCAACACGAGTAACATACCAATTCAAATTGCTGGTACGTGGAACAATACACGGCTTCACTCCACGAACATTTCACGAACGATGTGACAATCAAGGACCAAGCATTGTCGTTTTACGCGTGCGGGACACGAGACAAATCATCGGCGGGTACAATCCGATCGGGTGGCGCGGACTACGACGTAATCATTGGCAATACACCTGTGACAGTTTCTTGTTCTCGTTCGGAAGTAAGTGCGGGAGTATTGGTGATGTGGCCTCGGATGTCAGACTGAGTCGAGTGTTGCCTGGGTGTGAGGCAATTTACGATGACCCGAAATTTGGACCGTGTTTTGGCAAAACGGATTTGGATATGCGGATTAAGTTTGATGAAGGGGAAAATTGTTCGGCTAGGAAACAATGTTATAAACATAATATTTTTGGAGACGTGAACGGAAGTGGCAAATTTTCGGTGGATGAATATGAAGTATTTCAGATTTATAAAGCATAGTGTTAGCATTTCTAGTTACCGTTAATGCCGCCAAAATTATAATAAATGTACATGCATGTACGTAATCTCTGCCACTACAACGAATTAAGTACACGTGATAGAAAAGAAAAACTAGAATAACATAATTAATGACGTAGGTTGCAATCCAAATATTAATACAACGTATACAATGAATTGTGTACATGTATAACGATAATGAGATAACAAGAACAAATGACTTCGGCGTCACTTTGTAATCTTTGACATGTGAAACAAATGTACTCACAAAAAAGGGATGCATTACATATCAATATACATGTTCATAACCATTATCGTTACATTGGTGGACTATGTATAGTCTCTAACGCTAATCAAAAAGCAAAGATACCATTCCTGATAGATCGGCAATACCGTTCCTGATATGTTAAAAAAAAATTTATTTATATACCGATACCATTCCTGATATACTGTTTCTGATAGATTTCCAAAAAAGGAATCTTGGACGGAATTAAGGAATTACGAGATTAGTAGTATCGGTAATGATCACTGTATTTTACAGTTACGTATTTTTATTACATTATATTATACTTTAATTAATGTATATAATTCAATTTATTTTCTTTGTCACCAATGTCGCTACCATTACACTTATGTCGTCACCATTACTATGATTCACATAAACTTTTAAGACTACGTATAATACTCACTGGATCATATGTTGACGAATCAAGTAATAGGTAAGTCACATGATTGTGTGGGCAAAAGATTCACTGGATAACAATTATTGCTAACATTACAACTATTGCTAATAATACTGTTACGATTGTTACTAATGTTACGAACAGGTCACAATTTAGCAAATTCTAAAAAAAACAATGATTTCTTGATTTATCAAGCAAAAGTATGCTAATCTTAATAATGGCCAGGATGTGAGGATTACTGTTAATATTACAAACAGGTCATAATTTAACGAATTCTTAAAGAAACAATAATTTCCTGATTATGCTTGATTATAATAATCGTAATAATGATCAGGGATGAATCACTTGATAGTGATCAATATAAAAGTAATTCGTTATGATTATAGATTAAAATTTATGAAAATAGTTTAAGGGTAGAGTTCATTGCATTACTAATAAATACATATGGATCATCAAACAATTACGTAAAATGGAAATTTTCTAGTAGCACAGTAAAAAAAACAATTTAACGTAGATCATTGAAAAAATGGAGATTTTCTAGTAGCACAAGATAGAGTTCGTTTCGTTATCAAAGATTGACAGAGATGGCGAAAAATTTTGTTCAGATCACGTGCTATCAATCAGATATATCCAATCAAAGGTTATCTACCAAAGTTGACCAATAAAATTGCGAGTTTATGATCACGTGTAAAAAAAGAAATGGATGTGTAAATCTGTCTTGAAACATTAATAAAAAATTTCAAAAAGAAAATTTTATTTATAATATTAGTTTAGTCATAATGTTACAGCTAGTGTTCCTATGAACCGAACCGAACCGGACTTTTGCCCGAGTTCGAGTTCGGTTCGAAATTCGAACCGAACTCGA